TCCCTGGTCTCCCTGCACTTGAGTGGGGCACCGTACGAGGGCATGGGACGTGGGGGTTGGCCTTAGAATTCTGCCTGCCACCATCCCTGGGTCGGGGGGGCCTTGTGTGGTGGTAAGGGAGGGGTTCGCCTGGACAAGCAGGTGCGGGAAGGAGGGGCTGTGCCTTGTGTGGGAGCCGGTTCTCGTCCCCACATTGGCCTCTCTCATGCAACTTGAAATGTGGGTTGCCGGGCCTCTGGACCCCTGTGTCCTGGTTCTTCTTCATGAGGGTCAGCGCACACATTGGGACTCTGCTCTACGTCTGCCTCCCAGTAGAGGCGGTGGATGTGGTTTGGACTCTGAGTGGGCTGGAAGTTACCAGGGAGGCTCAGAGGAAGCTTTCCTGCAAAGCACGGCTTGATCCAGTCTGAGGGATGGGTGGTGTCTTGTCAGTGAGAGAGGTGGAAACCGGTGGCCCAGGCTGCGAACAGGTGTCCAGGCAGGGGTAGCAGGTGCCCAGGCTCAGAAACATGTGTCCCAGGCTTTGAGACAAGTGGCCCAGGCCCAGAAATAGGTGGCCTAGGCTTAAGGATAAGTGCTCCAGGCTCTGAGACAGGTGGCCCAGGCTTGGGGACGGGCTGAGCAAAGGTGCTGTGAGGGGTGAGCATACGGATTTAGGAGCCGGGGATGGGAGGTCCTCCCTGGGGTGAATGGAGGGCCCCTGGCTCTGGTGGTCTCTCCTCTGGTCATGATGTATCAGAACCATCGTGCCAGCCTGGGGGCCTCTGTTGGATGGTGCACTGTGTGGTGTTCCAGAGACTGGCCACAGGTGCTCTCTGCCAGGCTCCGACACTTTCACTAGATGCTTTTATTAACTCATTTTAAAAAGTAATTGGGAGGCTACTCTACTTGTGGAATGAGTTAGAGAAGGCCCGGTCCAGGGTTCCATGGTGTTGAAAGAGCCCTGAGCATGTAGGGAGGGAGCCGCAGCTTCGGTTTCTGGTGAGTTTCCTGGAGGTACTTAGGAATGACCTGGAAAGACTTTTTTAAAAAAATTAAATTCAGCAGGGTCATGCTGACCGTCCAGCTTCCAACATCACCCAGCAGTCATCGAGTCCCTGCTGAGGCACCAATCTCAGCCCCCTGAACTCTCCTGGGAGAAGGAGCCAGGATGGAGTGAGAAGGTACCACCCTGCAGCACACGGAGCCTTGGCACCTTCACCTACTTGCCTGGAACCTTGGCCCAATGATGCCCTTTCTCTGAGGTACGGTTTCTCACTCATAAGATGGGGATGGCGCAGACCTCAGAAGGGTGCTGGATAAAAATGTAAAAAGTGACGGTGTCAAAAACAAGCACTTTTTGTGTCAAAGAGTTTAATTCACTAAAAGAAGACAGCTTACAATAAGTCACTTGAAAAGCACGCTTATGTTTGCCTTTTATACCTGCATATGTACACCTGTGTGTTGTGAGTCAATACAGGAAGTGACATGCTCCCATAATATATTCTCAGCGGTGTCCTATACAGGGGTTTTCCTGCCATATGCTTCCATTCACAAAAAAATACCTGTTTATGATGCATCTTACAGAAAGCACGTTTACATTTGCCTTAAAAAAAACCCTGTATTTAGGGTTCAGGATACAGGTGCAAGTTTGTCACACAGGTAAACCAGTGTCATGGGAGTTTGTTGTACAGATTATGTAGTCACCAGTTATTAAGCATAGTACCCATTAGTTATTTCTCCTGATCTTCTCCCTCCTCCCACCCTCACCCTCTGAGAGGCCCCAGTGTGTGCCGTTTCCCTCTGCATCCATGTGTTCTCATTATTTAGCTCCTCCTTGTGAGAACATACAGTATTTGTTTTTTTTTCCTTCTGAGTTAGTTTGCTAAGAATAATGGCTTCCAGCTCCACCCATGTTCCTGCAAAGGACATGATTTTGTTCTTTTTTTTTCATAGCTGCATAGTATTCCATGGTGTGTATTAATTTCATTTTCTTTAACCAGTCCATCATTGATGGGCATTTGGGTCAATCCCATGTCTTTGCTATTCTGAATACTGCTACAATGAACACATGGATGCATGTGTCTTTATAACAGAATGATTTATATTACGTTGAGTATACATATTCCCAGTGATATGGTTTGGCTGTGTCCCCAACCAAATCTCATCTTGTAGTTCCCATAATTCCCACGTGTCATGGGAAGGACCAGGTGTAGATAACTGAATAATGGGGAGTTTTCCATCCTGTTCTCATGATAGTGAGTTAGCTCTCACGAGATCTGATGGATTTCTAAGGGGCTTCTCCCTTCCCTGGGCACTCATTATTCTCCCTGACATCGTGTGAAGAAGGATGTGTTTGCTTCCCTTTCTGCCATGATTGTAAGTTTCCTGAGGCTTCCCCAGCCATGCTGAACTATGAGTCAATTACACCTCTTTCGTTAATAAATTACCCAGCCTTGGGTATGTCTTTATTAGCAGTGTGAAAATGGACTACACCTAGTAATGGGATTGCTGAGTTAAATGGTAGTTCTGTTTTTAGCTCTTTGAGGAATCAACACAGTGCTTTCCACAATGGTTAAACTGATTTATACTCCCACCAGCAGTGTATAAGCATTCATTTGCTCTGCAACCTCACCAGCATCTGTTATATTTTGACTTTTTAGTAATAGCCATTCTGACTGGTGTGAGATGGTATCCCATTTTGGTTTTGATTTGCATTTCCCTAATGATCAGTGATGTTGAGCTTTCTTCATATGCTTTTTGGCCACAGGTTTGTCTTCTTTTGAAAAGTGTCTGTTCACATTCTTTCCAACTTTTCAATAGGGTTTTTTTTTTCTTGTAAATCTGTTCAAGTTCCTTTTAAATGCCGGATATTAGACCTTTGTCAGATGCAGTTTACACAATTTTTCTTCTATTCTGTAGGTTGTTTGCTGACTCTGTTCTCAGTTTCTTTTGCTGTACAGAAGCCCTTTAGTTTATTTAGACCCAATTTGTCAATTTTGGCTTTTGCTGCAATTGCTTTTGGTGTCTTTGTCACAAAATCTTTGCCCATTCCTATGTCCAGAATGGCATTGCCTAGGTTGTCTTCCAGGGTTTTTATAGCTTTAGGTCTTACATTTAAGCCCTTAATCCATCTTGAGTTTATTTTTTTTTGGTATATGGTATAAGAATGGAGTGTAGTTTCAGTCTTCTGCATATGGCTAGCCAGTTATCCTAGCATCATTTATTGAATAGGGAGTCCTTTCTCCATTACTTGTTTTTGTCAGCTTTGTCAAGATCAGATGGTTATAGGTTTGTGGCCTTATTTCTGGGCTCTCTATTCTGTTCCATTGATCTATACGTCTGTTTTTGTACCAGTATCACGCTATTTTGATTACTGTAGTCCTGTAGTATAGTTTTAAGTCAGATGGTGTGATGCCTTTAGCTTTGTTCTTTTTGCTTAGGATTGCTTTGGCTATTTGGGTTCCTTTTTGGTTCCACATGAATTTTAAAATAGTTTTTTCTTAGTTTTATAAAGAATGTCATTGGTAGTTTGATAGGAATACTGTTGAATGTATAAATTGCTTTAATGATATTGATTCTTTCTATCCATGAGCATGGAATGTTTTTAAATTTGTTCGTGTCATCTCTGATTTCACTGAGCAGTGGTTTGTAGTTCTCCTTGTAGAGATTTTTCACCTCCTTAGTTAGTTGTATTCCTGGATAGCTTATTCTTTTTGTGGCAATTGTGAATAAGATTGCATTCATGATTTGGCTTTTGGCTTGACTATTGAAAAACAAGGTGATTCTTTTTTTTTTTTTTGAGGGAATCTTGCTGTGTTACTCGGGCCGGAGTGCAGTGGCACGATTGTGGCTCACTGCAACCTCTGCCTCCCAGGTTCAAGTGATTCTCTAGCCTCAGCCTCCTTAGTAGCTGGGATTACAGGCATGTGACACCACACCTAGCCTTTTTTTTGGCTTTTTTACTAGAGATGGGGATTTGGCATGTTGGCTTGACTGGTCTTGAATTCCTGGCCTCAAGCAATCTGCCTTCCTTGGCCTCCCAAAGTGCTAGGATTACAGGTGTGAGCCACTGTGTCCAGCTGAAAACAAAAATTCTTTAAAAAGATTACCTTCATTTTATTTCTTGAAGAGGCTGGTGTCTGGCAGTGATGCTTCAGGGAGAGGAAATGAAATGGAAGAAGTGATATCATGGGAGAGGTGATGCCATGGGGAAGTGATGTCATAGGAGAGGTGATGTCATGGGAGAGGTGATGTCATGGGAGAGGTAATGCCATGGGGAAGTGATGTCGTAGAGGAAGTGATGTTATGGAGGAGGTGATGCCATGGGGAGGTAATGTCACAGGGGAGGTGATATCACGGAGAGGAAATGCCATCGGGTGGTGATGGGTGAGGTGATGTCATGGGGTGAGGTGATGTGATGGGGGAGGTGATGATATAATAGGAGTGACATCATTGGGAGGTGATGTCAGGGGGAGGTGATGCCATGGGGAAGTGATGTCATGAAGGTGATATCATAGGGAGGTACCATCATGGGGAGATGATGTCATGGAGGAGGTGATGTCATGGGGAGGTGATGCCATGTCAAAGTAATGTCATGGGGGAGGTAAGGCCGTGGGGGAGATGATGTCATGGGAAAGGTGATGTCATAGAGGAGATGATGTCATGGAGGAGATGAGGTCATAAGGAGGTGATATCATGGGGGAAGTGATGTCATGGAGAGCTGATGCCATCAGGTGGTGATGTAATGGATGAGGTGATGTAACAGTGTGGTGAAGTCATGAAGAGGTGATGTGATGGGGTGGTGATATCATGGGGGAAGTGATGTCATTAGGGAGGTGATGTCGTAGGGTGGTGATCTCATGGGTAGATGATGTCATGGAAGAGATGATGTCAATAGGGAGGTAATGTCCTTGGCGGGGGATGCCATTAAGAGGTGATGTCATGGGGGGGTGATGCCATAGTGAGGTGATGTCTTCGGAGAAAAGATGTCATGGGGAGGTGATGTCATTGGGGGGTGATGCAATGTGGGAGGTGATGCCATGGGGCTATGATGCAGTGGTGGGTGAGGTCATAGGAGGTGAAGCATGGAGAGGTGATGTCATGGAGAAGTGATGTCATGGGGTAGTGATGCCATGGGGAGATGATGCAATGGGGGTGATGTCATAGGGAGGCGATGTCATGTTTAGTAACGTTAGGGGGAGGTGATGTTGTAAGGAGATGATGTCATGGGAAAGGTAATGTCATGGGAAGGTTATACCATGGGAAGGTGATGCTATGGGGGGTGATGTCATAGGGAAGTGATATCATGGGGTGGTGATGCAACATGGGAGGTGATGCCAAGGGAGGTGATGTTATCAGGAAATGATGTTATGGGGAAGTGATGTCATGAGGGAGGTGATGTCATGGGGAGGTGATCTCATGGGGAGATGATGTAATGAGGTGGTGATGTCAATGGAGAGATGATGTCATAAGAGGTGATGTCATGGGGGAGGTGAAGTAACGGGGAGGTGATGTCATAAGAAGGTGATGTTATTTTGGGGTGATACCATGGAGAGGTGATGTCATAAGGTGGTGAAGTCAAAGAGGAAGTGATGAGGGACGTGATGTCATGTGGAAGTGATCTCATGGGGAGAAGATGTCATGGGGGAAATGATGCCATGAAAGGGGTAATGTAATTAAAAGGTGATCTCATTGGGTGGCGATGTCATAGGGAGGTGATATAATGGGAAGTTCATCTCATGGAGGTGATGTCATTTGGTGGTGATGCAAGGTTGGAGGTGATGCATGCGGAGGTGATGTCGACCGGGGTGTTCTAATGGAGAGGTGATGTCATGTGGAGGTGATGTCATGGGGAGACGATGTTATGGGAAGATGATGTCATGGAAGAGGTAATGTCATGGGGAGGTGATGTCATGGGAAGATTATTCAAAGGGATGGTGATGTCAGGGGGAGGTGATGTCATTGGAGGTGATGTCATGGGTCATGATGTCATTGAAGATGGTCACATTGGAAGTGATGTTTTGAGGTGATGATGTAATGGGGAGGTGATGTCACAGGGTGATGATGTCATGAGAAAGTGATGTCATGGGAGGTGATGGCATGGGGCAATGATGCCAAGTGGAAGTGATGACAGGGGAGGTGATGTCATTGAAAGGTGATATCATGGGTGATGTGATGTCACCGGGAGGTGATGTCATGGGAAGATGATTTCAAGGTGGTGGTGATGTAAGGGGGAGGTGATGTCATTGGAGGTGATGTCACTGGAGGTAATGTGACAGGAAGGTGATGTCATGGGGAGGTGAAGTGATGGGGAAGTGATGCCATGGGAAATGATGTCATGGAAGGTGATATCAAGAAGTGATGTCATGGAGAGGTGATGTCATGGGTGGTGATGTCATGGGGCAATGATATCATGAGGAAGTGATGTCATGGGAGGTAATGTCATGGTAAGGGGATGTCATGGGGAGTTGATGTCATGGGTGGTGATGTCATTGGACGATGATGTCATGAGGAGGTGATGTCATGGGAAGGTGATGTCATAGGAATATGATGTTGGGATGATGATGTCCAGGAGAGGTGATGTCATGGGGAGATGATGTCATGAGGAGCTGATGTCATGAGGAAGTGAAGTCATGGGGTAGTGATGTCATGGGAGATGATGTTTTAAAAGGTGATGTCATGTGGAGATGAAATCATGGGAAGGTGATGGCACTGGGAGGTGTTGTCATAGAAAGGTGATATCATGTGATGATAAGGTCAAGGAGAGACAATGTAATGAGGAGGTGACGTCAAGTGAACATTATGTCATGGGGTGGTGATATCATGGGGAAGTGATGTCATGGGGAGGTGATGTCAAAGGGCAACGATATGATGAAGAGGTGATGTCATGGGAGGTGAAGTCATGGTGTGATGATGTCATGGGGAGGTGATATTCTGGGCAGGTGATGCCATGGGGCAATGATGTCATGAGGAGGTGATGCCACGGGGAAGTGATGTCATGGAGCGATCATGTCATGGGGAGGTGATGTCATAGGTAGGAGATGCTATAAAGCAGTGATGTCATGGGGAGGTGATGTCATAGGGATGTGATTTCATGGGTAGGTGATGTATTGGGGTGATGATGTTATGAGGAGGTGATGTAATGGGGAGGTGATGTCATGGGCAATGATGTCATGGGGAGGTGATGTAATGCAAAATGATGTCATCGGGTGATGTTGTCATCAGGAGGTGATGAAATGGGTAGCTGATGTCATGGGGAGGTGATGTAATGTGAAGTGATGTCATGGGGTGATGTTGTTATGGGAAGGTGATGAAATGGGTAGAAGATGTGAAGGGGAGGTGATGTCATGGGGCGATGATATCATTGGTAGGTGATGTCATGAGAGGTGCTGTCATGGGGGATGATGTTATGAGGGAAGTATTGTCATAGGAAAACAATGTCATGGGAAGGTGATGTCATGGAAAGGTGATGTTATGGGGAGGTGATATCATGAGGTATTGATGTCGTGGGGTGATGATGTCAAGGAGAGGTGATGTCATGGGGTGGTGATGTCATGGTGAAGTGATTTCATTTGGTGGTGATGTCTTGGGAGAGGAGATGTGATGGGAAGATGATGTCATGAGGCAATGATGTCATGGAGAGGTGATGTCATGGGAGATGATATTATGTGGGAGGTGTTGTCATGAGGAGGTGATGTTACAGGGTGATGATTTCATGGGGCAGTAATGTCATGAAAGGTGATATCATGGGTTGATAATGTCATAGGGAGATGATGTCATGGGGCGATGATGTCATGGCAGGTGATGTCACCGGACGTGATGTAATGGGTTGATGACATCATAAGAGGTGATGTCATGGGGTGATGATGTGATGAGGAGATAATGTCATTAGGAGGTGGCGTCATGGAGAGATGATGTCATGGGATGATGTTGTCATCGGGAGGTGATGTGATGGGTAGGTGATGCTACGGGGCGATGACATCATGGGTTGATGATGTCATAAGAGGTGATGTCATGGGGTGATGATATCATGGGGAGCTGATGTCATAGAGAGGTGATGTCAGGGGGTGATGGTGAGTTGAGGAAATGATGTCATTAGGAGGTGATGTCATGGGGAGGTGGTGTTGTGGGGTAATGTCAAGAGGTGGTGTCATGGGTAGGTGATATCATGAGTAGGTGATGTCATGGGGTGATGATGTCATGGTGAGTTAGTGTCATGAGGAGGTGACGTCTATGCAAGGTGATGTCATGGGGAGGTGATATTATGGGAAGATGATGTCATGGCTGAGGTGATGTCATGGGAAGATGATTTCACGGGGATGGTGATGTCAGGGGGAGTTGATGTCATTGGAAGTGATGTCATGATGTGACGATGTCATTGGATATGGTCTCATTGGAAGTGATGTCTTGAGATGATGATGTCATGGCGAGGAGATTTCACAGCATGATGATGTCATGAGAAAGTGATGTCATGTGAGGTGATGACATGGGACAATGATGCCATGGGGAGGTGATGACAGGGGAGGAGATGTCATTGAAAGGTGATGTCATGGGCGAGGTGATGTCATGGGGAGGTGATGTCATGGGAAGATGATTTCAAGGGGATGGTGATGTTGAGGGAAGTGATGTCATTTGAGGTGATGTCATAGGAAGGTGATGTCATGGGAAGATGAAATCATGGGGTGGTGATATCAAGAAAAATGATGTCATGGAAGGTGATGTCAAGAGGTGTTGTCATGGAGAGGTGATGTCATAAGGTGGTGATGTCGTGAGGAAATGATGCCATAAGAAGGTGATGTCATATGGAGATGAAATCATGGAGAGGTGATGTTATTAAAAGGTGATATCATGGGATGATGATGTGAAGGAGAGGCAATGTAATGAAGAGGTGATGTCATAGGGTGGTGATGTTATGGGGAAGTGATGTCATGGGGAGGTGATGTCATGGGAGGTTTAGTCATGGGGTGATGATGTAATGAGGAGGTGATGTTCTGGGCAGGTGATGCCATGGGGCAATGATGTCATGAGGCAGTGATGTCATGCAGAGGTGATGTCATGGGGAGGTGATGACATAAGTAGGAGATCTTATGGGGCAGTGATGTCATAGGGAGGTGATGTCATAGGAATGTTATTTCATGGGTATGTGATATTTTGGGGCAATGATGTGATATGAAGAGGTGAAGTAAAGGGGAGGAGATGTCATGGGTGATGTTGTCATGGGGAGGTGAAGGAATGTCATGGGGTGATGTTGTCATGGGGAGGTGAGGTAATGGGTGGCTGATGTCATTGGGAGGTGATGTCATGGGGTGATGATATCATTGGTAGGTGATGTCATGAGAGGTAATGTCATGCGAAATGATGTTATGAGGGGAGTGTCATAAGAAGGCAATGTCATGCGAAGGTGATGTCATGAGGTGTTGATGTTGTGGGGTAATGATGTCACAGGGAGGTGATGTCATGGGGTGGTGATATCTTGGGAGAGGAGATGTGATGGGAAGATGATATCATGAGGCAATGATGTCATGGAGAGGTGGTGTCATGGGAGATGATATAAGGGAGGTGTTGTCACGGGAAGGGGATATCATGAGGAGGTGAAGTTACAGGGTGATGATTTCATGCAGCGGTTATGTCATGGGAGATGATATTATGGGTTCATGATGTCATGGAAAGATGATGTCATGGGAGGCGATGTGACAGGAGGTGATGTCATGGGTTAATGGTGTCATAAGAGGTGATGTCATGGGGTGATGATGTCATGGGAGGTGATTTCATGGGATGATGATGTGATGAGGAGGTGATGTCGTGGGGTGATGATGTCATGGTAGGTGATGTCACAGGAGGTGATGTCAAGGGTTGATGTCATAAGAAGTGACGTCATGGGGGATGATGTCATGGGGAGTTGATGTAATGGGGAAATGATGTCATTAGGAGGTGATGTCATTGGGAGGTGATGTCATGGGCTAATGTTGTCATCAGGAGGTGATGTCGTGAGTAGGTGATGTCGTGGGGCGATGATGCCATGGGGAGTTAGTGTCAAGAGAAGGTGATGTCTTTGTGAGGTGATGTCATGGGAAGATGATTTCAAGGGGATGGTGATGTCATTGGAGGTGATGTCATGGGGAGGTGAAGACATGGGGTGGTGATGTCATGGGAAATGATGTCATGGAAGGTGATGTCAAGAGGTGATGTCATGGAGAGTTGATGTCATGAGAGGTGATGTCATGGGGCAATGATGTCATGAGGAAGTGATGTCATGGGAGGTGATGTCATGGAAAGGGGATGTCATGGGGCATTGATGTCATGGGGAGTTCATGTCATGGGTGGTGATGCCATTGGATGATGATGTAATGAGCAGGTGACGTCGTGGGGAAGTGAGGTCATAAGAATATGATGTCATGGGATGATGATGTCCGTGAGAGGTGTTGTCACGGGAAGGCGATATCATGAGGAGGTGATGTTACAGGGCGATGATATCATGGGGTGGTAATGTCATGTGAGGTCATATCATGGGTTGATGATGTCATGGGGAGATGAAGTCATGGGAGGTGATGTCATGGTAGGCGACGTCAACATGAGGCGATGTCATGGGGTGATGATGTCATGCATTGATGACGTAATAAGAGGTGATGTTACAAGGTGATGATGTCATGGGAGGTGTTGTCGTGGGATGATGATATGATGAGCAGGTGAAGTCATTAGGAGGTGATGTCAGGGAGGTGATTTCATGGGGCAATGTTGTCATCGGGAGGTGATGTCAGGTGTAGGTGATGTCATGGGGCGATGATGTCATGGGAGATTATATTACGGGGCATGTGTTGTCACGGGAAGGTGATATCATAAGATGATGTTACAGGGCGATGATTTCATGGGGCGGTAATGTTGTGGGAGGTGATATCATGGGTTGATGACATCATGAGGAGATGAGGTCATGGTAGGCGATGTCACAGTAGGTGATGTCATGGGTTTATGACGTCATAAGAGCTGATGTCATGGGGTGATGATGTCATGAGAGGTGATGTCATGGGATGATTATATGATGAGGAGGTAGTGTCATTAGGAGGTGATTTCATGGAGAGACGACGTCAAGGGGCAATGTTGTCTTTGAAAAGTGATGTCATGGGGCGATGATGTCACGGTAGGTGATGTAACAGGAGGTGATGTCATGGGCTGATGATGTCATACGAGGTGATGTCTTAAGGTGATAATGTCATGGAAAGGAGATGTCATGAGGAGGCGACGTCATGGGGTGATGATGTGATGGGGAAGTGATGTCATTAGGAGGTGATGTCATGGGTAGGTGATGTCATGGGGAGTTAGTGTCATGTGGAGGTGATGTTTTTGCTAGGTGATGTCATGGGGAGGTGATGTTATGGGAAGATGATTTCAAGGGTATGGTGATGTCAGGGGTAAGTAATGTCATTGGAGGTGATGTCATAGTTTGGAGATGTTATGGGGCAGTGATGTTATGGGGAGGTGATGTCATAGTTATGTGATTTCATTGGTAGGTGATATATTGTGGGGTGATGTCATGAGGAGGTGATGTAATGGCGAGGTAATGTCATGGGCAATGATGGCATGGGGTGATGTCATGCAGAGGTGATGTAATGGTTAGCTGATGTCGTGGGAGGTGATGTCATGGGGTGATGATATCATTGGTAGGTGATGTCATGAGAGGTGACGTCATGGGGGATGATGTTATGAGGGAAGTGTCATAGGGAGATGATGTCATGGGGTGATGATGTGATTGGGAAGTGATGACATTAGGAGGTGATGTCATGGGGAGGTGGGGTCATGGGGTAATATCAGGAGGTCATGTCATGGGTAGGTGATGTCATGGGGCAATGATGTCATGGGTAGTTAGTGTCATGAGGTGGTGATGTCTGCGAGGTGATGTCATGGGGAGGTGATATTATGGGAAGATGATGTCGTGGGTGAAGTGATTTCATGGGAAGATGATTTCAAGGGGATGATGATGTAGGCGGTTGACGTCATTGGAGGTGATGTTATGGGGAGCTGAGGTCTTGAGGTGATGATTTCATGGAGAGGTGATGTCACAGGGTGATGATGTCATGAGAAAGTGATGTCATGGGAGGTGATGACATGGGGCAATAAGGCCAAGGGGAGGTGATGACATTGAAAGTGATGTCATGGGTTAGTGATGTCATGGGGAGATAATAATGTCATAAGAAGATGATTTCAAGGCAATGGTGATTTCAGGGCAAGGTGATGTCATTGGAGGTGATGTCATAGGAAGGTGATGTCATGGGGAGGTGAAGTCATGGGGTGGTGATGTCATGAAAATGTGATGTCATGGAATGGGATGTCAAGAGGTGATGTCATGGAGAGGTGATGTCATGGGAAAGTGATGTCATGTGGAGATGAAGTAATGGGGAGGTGATGTCATTGGAAGGCGACATAATAAAAAGGTGATATCATGAAATGATGATGTCAAGGAGAGGCGATGTAATGAGGAGGTGATATTATGTGAAAATGATGTCATGAGGAGGTGATGGCATGAGGAGCTGATGTCATGGGGAAGTGATGTCAAGGGGCAATAATATGATGGGGAGGCGATGTCATGGGAGGTGAAGTCATGGGGAGGTGATGTTCTGGGCAGGTGATGCAATGGGGCAATCATGTCATTAGGAGGTGATGCCATAAGGTGGTGATGCCATGGGCAAGAATGTCATGGGGAGGTGATGTAATGAGAAGTGATGTCATGTGTTGATGTTGTCATGGGGAGGTGATGTAATGGGTAGATGATGTCATTAGAGGGTGATGTCATTGGGCAATGATATCGTTGGTAGGTGATGGCAAGAGGTGATGTCATGAGGGATGATGTTATGAGGGAAGTGTCATAGGAAAGCAATGTCATGTGAAGGTGATGTCATGGAAAGGTGATGTTATGGGGAGGTGATGTCATAAGGTGTTGATGTTGTGGGGTGATGACGTCAAGGGTAGGTGATGTCATGGGTGATGATGTCAAGGGAAGGTGATGTCATATGGTGGTGATGTTATCAAGGAACTGTTGTCATAGGATGGCAATGTCATGGGAAGCTGATGTCATAAAAATGTGATGCTATGGAAAGGTGATGTCTTCAGGTGTTGATGTCATGGGGTAATGATGTCAAGAGGAGGTGATGTCATGTGGTTGTGATGTCATGAAGAAGTGATTTCATTTGGTGGTGATGTCCTGTGAGAGGAGATGTGATGGGAAGATGATGTCAGGAGGCAATGATGTCATGGAGAAGTGATGTCATTGGAGATGATATGGGGGAGGCATTGTCACGGGAAGATGATATCATGTGGAGGTGATGTTACAGGGCGATAATTTCATGGGACGGTAAGGTCATAGGAGGTGATATCATGGATTGATGATGTCATGGGGAGATGATGTCATGGGAGTTGATGTCATAGGGTGGTGATGTCATGGTAGGTGATGTCACATGTGGTGATGTAATGGGTTGATGATGTCATAAGAGGTGATGTCATGGGGTGATGACATCATGGGGAGGTGATGTCATGAGGAGGTGATGTTACAGGGCGATGATTTCATGGGGCAGTAATGTCATGGGAGGCGATATCACGGGTTGATGATATCATGGGGAGATGATGTCATGGGAGGTAATGTCATGGGAGGTGATGTCATGAGGCAGTGATGTCATGGTAGGTGATGTCACAGGAAGTGATGTTATGTGTTGATGACGTCATAATAGGTGATGTAATGGGATAATGATGTGATGAGGAGGTGATGTCATTAGGAGGTGATGTCACAGAAAGATGATGTCATTGGGCAATGTGGTCATCAGGAGGAGATGCCATGGGTGGTGATGTCATGGGGTGATGATGTGATGATGAAATGATGTCATTAGGAGGTGATGTCATGGAGAGGTGATGTCTTGGGGTAAAGTCATCCAGAGGTGATGACATGGGTAGGTGATGTCATGGGGCGATTTTGTCATGGGGAGGTAGTGTCATGAGGAGGTGATGTCTTTGTTAGGTGATGTCATGGAGAGGTGATGTTATGGAAAGATGATGTCATTGGTGAGGTGATGTCATGGGAAGATGATTTCAAGGGGATGGTGATGTCAGGGACAGGTGATGTCATTGGAGGTGATGTCATGGGGTGATGATGTCATAGGAAGAAGATATCATGGGGGGTGAAGTTGTGGGGTGGTGACGTCATGGGAAATGATGTCATGAGGAAGTGATGTCATGGGAGGTGATGTCATGGAAAAGGGATGTCATAGGGCATTGAGGACATAGGGAGTGGATGTCAGGGGTGGTGATGTCATTGGACAATGATGTCAGAAGAGGGGATGTCATGGGGAGGTGATGTCATGAGGAGCTGATGTCATGGGGAAGTGAAGTCATGGGGTGGCAATGTCATGGAAGATGATGTTATGGAAGGTGATGTCATGGAGAGGTGATGTCATGAGTTGGTGATGTCATGGGGCAATGATGTCATGGGAAGGTGATGTCGTTTGGAGATGAAATGATGGGAAGGTGATGTCATTGGGAGGTGATGTCATAAAAAGGTGATATTGTGGGATGATGATGTCAAGGAGAGGCGATGTAATGAGGAGCTGATGTCATGTGAAGATGATGTGATGGGGTGGTGATGTCATGGGGAAGTGATGTCATGGGGAGATGATGTCAAGGAGCAATGATATGATGGGGAGGTGATGTCATGCGGTGATGATGTCATGGGGAGGTGACGTTCTGGGCAGGTGATGGCATGGGGCAATGTCGACATGAGGAGGTGATGCCATGAGGAGGTGATGTAATGGAGTGATGATGTCATGGGGAGGTGATGTCATAGGCAGGAGGTAGTATGAGCCAGTGATGTCATGGGGATGTGATATCATAGGGATGTGATTTCATGGGTGATGATGTCATGGGGAGGTGAGGTAATGGGTAGCTGACGTCATGGGAAGGTGATGTCATGGGGTGATATCAATGGTAGGTGATGTCATGAGAGGTGATGTCATGTGGTAGATGTTATGAGGGAAGTGTTGTCAAAACAAGGCAATTTCATGGGAAGGGGATGTCATGGAAAGGTGATGTTAAGGGGATGTGATGTCATGAGGTGTTGATGTCATGGGATGATGATGTCAAGAAGAGGTGATGTCATGGGGAAGTGATTTAATTTGGTGGTGATGTCTTGGGAGAGGAGATGTGATGGGAAGGTGGTGTCATGAGGCAATGATATCATGGAGAGGTGGTGTCATGGGAGATGATATTATAAAGGAGGTGTTGTCACGGGAAGGTGATATCATGAGGAGGTAATGTTACAGGGCGATGATTTCAGGGGGCGGTAATGTCATGGGAAGTGATATCATGGGATGATAATGTCATGGTAGGCGATGTCACGGGAGGAGATGTCATGGGTTGGTGATGTCATGGAAGGTGATGTCATGGGATGATGATGTAATGAGGAGGTGTGTTCATTAGGAGGTGATGTCATGGAGAGATGGTGTCATGGGGCGATGTCATTGGGAGGTGATGTCATGGGAAGAGAAGTCATGGAAAGATGAAGTCATGGGGTGATGTTGTCATCGGGAGGTGATGTCATGAGTAGGTGATGTCAAGGGGCGATGATGTCAAGGTACGTGATGTCACAGGAGGTGATGTTATGGGTGATGATGTCATAAGAGGTGATGTCATGGGGTGATGATGTCATTGGGTCATATGGAGGTGTGTCTTTGGGAGGTGATATAATGGGGTGATGATGTGATGTCATTAGGAGGTGATGTTGGCATCGGGAATTGATGTCATGTGGTGGTGATGTCAGGGGGCCATGATGTCATGGGAGGGTGATGTCATGTGGAGATGAAATCATAACGAGGTGATGTCATTGGGAGATGTTGTCATAAAAAGTGATGTCACGGGATGATGATGTCAAGGAGAGACGATGTAATAAAGAGGTGATATCACGTGAAGATGATGTCATGAGGTGGTGATATCAAGCAGCAATGATATCATGGGCAGGTGATGTCAAGGGAGGTGAAGTCATGGGGTGATGATGTCATGGGGAGGTGATGTTCTGGGCAGGTGATGCCATGGGGCAGTGATGTCATGCAGAGGTGATGTCATGGTGATGTGATGTTATAGGTAGGAAATGTTTTTGGGCAGTGATGTCATGGGGAGGTGATGTCATAGGGATGTGATCTCATGGGTAGGGGATATATTGGGGTGATGATGTCAAGAGGAGGTGAAGTAATGGAGAGATGATGTCATGGGTGATGATGTCATAAGGAGGTGATGCAATGCAAAGTGATGTCATGGGGTGATGTTGTCATGCAGAGGTGATGTAATGGGTAGCTGATGTCATGGGGTGACGTGGTCATCGGGAGGTGATGTCATGGGTAGATGATGTCACGGGGCAATGATGTCATGGTAGGCGATGTAATGGAGTGATGTCATAGTAGGCGATGTCACAGGAGGTGTTGTCATGGGTTGATGACGTATAAGAGGTGATGTCATGGGTGATGATGTCATGGGGTGGTGATGTTTTGGGGAGGTGACGTCATGGGGTGATGATGCGTTGTGGAAGTGATGTCATTAGGGGGTGATGTCACGGAAAGGTGAGGGTAATGTTGTCATCGGGAGGTGATGTCATGGGGAGTTAGTGTCATGAGGAGGTGATGTCTTTGTGATGTGATGTCATGGGAAGGTGATCTATGGGAAGTTCATGTCATGGGTGAGGTGATGTCATGGGGAGGTGATGTCATGAGAAGATAATTCAAGGGGATGGTGATGTCGGGGGGACGTGATGTGATTGGAAGTGGTGTCTTGAGGTGATGATGTCATGGGGAGGTGATATCACAGGGTGATGATGTCATAGAAAGTGATGTCATGAAAGGTAATGACATGGGGCAATGATGCCAAGGGGAAGTGATGACATTGAAAGTGATGTCATTGAAAGGTGATGTCTTGGGTGAGGTGATGTCATGAGGAGTTGAAGTCATGGGGAGGTGATGTAATAGGTAGCTGATGTCACGGGGAGGTGGTGTCATGGAGTGATGATATAAGTGGTAGGTGATGCCATGAGAGATGATGTCATGGGGGATTATGTTATGAGGGAACTGTTGTCATAGGATGGCAATGTCTTGGGAAGCTGATGTCCTAAAAATGTGATGTTATGGAAAGGTGATGTCATGAGATGTTGATGTCGTGGGGTAATGATGTCAAGAGGAGGTGATGTCATGGGGTTGTGATGTCATGGAGAAGTGATTTCATTTGGTGGTGATGTTTTGGGAGAGGAGATGTAATGGGAAGATGATGTCATGAAGAAAAGATTTCATGGAGAAGTGATGTCATGGGAGATGATATTATGGGAGAGGTGTTGTCACAGGAAGGTGATATCATGAGGAGGTGACGTTACAGGGTGATAATTTCATGTGGTGGTAGTGTCATGGGAGGTGATATCATGGGTTGATGACATCATGGGGAGATGATGTCATAAGAGGTGATGTCATGGGGTGATGATGTTATGGAAGGTGATGTGATGGGTTGATGATGTGATGAGGAGGTGATGTCATGGAGAGAT